GAGAGAGAGGGAGGAAGAGAGAGGGAGGGAGAGAGAGGGAGGAAGAGAGAGGGAGGGAGAGAGAGGGAGGAAGAGAGAGGGAGGGAGAGAGAGGGAGGAAGAGAGAGGGAGGGTGAGAGAGGGAGAGAAAAATCCCAGTCCAAAAGTTGAAGTGATTTTCTCCCCCTTCCTCCCCCCTCCTCCCCCATCGTATCCAGCTTCTGGGTAAAAACTTCTGACTCTACAGTACAACTGATGCACTCTCTCGCCTGTAGGTGGCAGTAATGCCCCTAGGGTTTGTTGACACATTCACTGTTGGACTTTTATTCCTATTCATTGGTTCGTCCCAACAGTTCCAGACAGATCGGTACCGAGCTGATCTTGAACTCTCTGATGGTCCACTCCGGCAGAACCGACTCCGACAGCATCTGGATGACCAGGTGTCCATAGTACAGAGGTTCCTGGTCCGCGGGCCAGTACTGGTCACACTTCACCTGGAACACATATTTGAACTGCTTTAGTACCTGTGCTGTGAAGTACTGCTGTGGTATTTGGGGTCAGGATTGTAGTACCCGTCCTTTCTCCACACACTGCGTCACCATGACAACGTTGTAGACGCCGTGCTCCCACGCCATCCTCCAGAACTCGTCTTTGGTGCCGGGGAGGGGGCCCTGGGTGGCGATGTACTCCCTACGGTAGTTGTTACCCTGCACACACACACACACACACACACAGGCATCAGCACACACAGTGTGTGTGTGTGTGTGTGTGTGTGTGTGTGTGTGTGTGTGTGTGGCCTTTACAGGGACGTAGCTGGCGTTGATGTAGTCGGAGCAGGGGTCGTCCTCCAGGTACGACAGCTTGACTCTGGTGGAATCATCTGGAAAACAAAAACCAGGATCAGGTCTGGTCCTGGTTCCTGGTCCATTTTCACCTGGTGTCATTTTCAGTTCACTTCTCTCTGGGCGTTGAACCTTCACACCTACAGTACATTTACATCAGAAACAGAGTCTGTTCTGTTTTTGTACAAACGGACCTCGGGTCAGAACCAGGTCAGAGTCAGAACCAGATTCAGACTCAGGTCAGAACCAGAGTCAGAGTCAGAAACAGAGTCAGAACCAGAGCCAGAACCAGGTCAGAACCAGAGTCAGAGTCAGAAACAGAGTCAGAACCAGAGCCAGAACCAGGTCAGAACCAGAGTCAGAGTCAGAACCAGAGCCAGAACCAGGTCAGAACCAGAGTCAGAGTCAGAACCAGAGCCAGAACCAGGTCAGAACCAGAGTCAGAGTCAGAAACAGAGTCAGAACCAGAGCCAGAACCAGGTCAGAACCAGAGTCAGAGTCAGAAACAGAGTCAGAACCAGAGCCAGAACCAGGTCAGAACCAGAGTCAGAGTCAGAACCAGGTCGGTGTTTCTTTTTGAACCAAAGTTAAAAATCTGCTCCTCACATGGCAGGATGTTGTTGTAGCGGTTCTTGGCCCTGTTCTCTGGCAGTCGGGCCACGTCCATGGTCTGGTTACGACCCACATCTTTCAGATCCTTCACAGCAGTAATCACACACACACACATTTTTCAACAAAATTTGATTAAAACAAAACTTATGTTAAGATATTTCAGACTGTGGCCACAGCTCTGATGTGTCAGCTGTGATTGGTCAGCTGTGATTGGTCAGCTCTGATGTGTCAGCTGTGTCAGCTGTGAATGGTCAGCTGTGATTGGTCAGCTGTGATTGGTCAGCTGTAAATGGTCAGCTGTGATTGGTCAGCTGTGATTGGTCAGCTGTGATTGGTCAGCTGTGATTGGTCAGCTGTGATTGGCCACAGTTGTAGATGGTGTAGTGACGTCGTTACCTCAAACTCCTCTGACAGCAGGTAGTTGGAGTCAGCCTGGAGTTTGTTCAGGTGAGACTCAAAGTGACCGGCTTTGACAGGACTGCACACACAGACACAGACACAGACACAGATACAGACACAGAGACAGACACAGACAGACACAGACACAGACACAGAAACAGACACAGCCACAGACACAGACACAGAGACAGACAAAGACACAGACACAGACACAGACACACACACAGACACACAGACAGACACAGACAGAGAGACAGACACAGACACAGACACAGAGACAGACACAGACAGAGACACAGACACAGACAGAGAGACAGACACAGACACAGACACACACACAGACACACAGACAGACACAGACAGAGAGACAGACACAGACACAGACACAGAGACAGAGACAGACACAGACACAGACACAGAGACAGAGACAGACACAGAGACAGACACCGAGACAGACACAGACACAGACACAGACCCAGACACAGACACAGACACAGAGACAGAGACAGAGACAGACACAGACACAGAGACAGAGACAGAGACAGAGACACAGACACAGACACAGACAGACACAGACACACACACAGACACACAGACAGACACAGACAGAGAGACAGACACAGACACAGACACAGAAACAGACACAGCCACAGACACAGACACAGACACAGATACAGACACAGAGACAGACACAGACAGAGACACAGACACAGACACAGAGACAGGCACAGAGACAGACACAGACACAGACACACACACAGACACACAGACAGACACAGACAGAGAGACAGACACAGACACAGACACACACACAGACACACAGACAGACACAGACAGAGAGACAGACACAGACACAGACACAGACACAAACACAGACACAGACACAGACACAAACACAGACACAGAGACAGAGACAGACACAGACACAGAGACAGACACAGACACAGAGACAGACAAAGACACAGACACAGACACAGACACAGATACAGACACAGAGACAGACACAGAGACAGACACAGAGACAGACACAGACACAGAGACAGAGACAGACACAGACACAGAGACAGACACAGACAGAGACACAGACACAGACAGAGAGACAGACACAGACACAGACACACACACAGACACACAGACAGACACAGACAGAGAGACAGACACAGACACAGACACAGACAGGTGTGTCAGTCTTAACTCTCAGACTTGAACGGTTTTTCACTGTCACTCACTCTCACCTGCCGATGCGTCGATTACTGCAAAAAAATCAAAGACACAAATTTGATCAGTTTTCAACTACCAACCCCAGCAGCTACATGGCTGACTGAGCTGGATGGATGATGGATGGATGGGTGGATGGATGGATGATGGATGATGGATGGGTGATGGATGATGGATGATGGATGATGGGTGGGTGATGGGTGATGGATGATGGGTGATGGATGATGGATGGATGATGGTTGGATTGTTGGATGGATTGTTGGATGGACAGATGGATGTTTAAAAGACATTTCTGTGTTGTTTTGTTGTTTTGTTGTTTTGTTGTTTTGTTGTTTTGAAGATATCATAACAACATGAATCAGTTAATGGTTCATTTGGGAGTTTTTCAGGAGAGATGATAGAGTTTAGACGAGTGCTGTTCTAATGGTACACACACACACACACACACACACACACACACACTCTTACCTCCTGACTCCCATGTAAATCCCTGAAGCAGGAACTTCTTTCCACATGCTCATCCTCATCACTGGATTCTCCTGTACAGCCCTGAACACACACACACACACACACACACACACACATTTGTATGTATACCAGGTTCCAGGGTGTCATGCAGCTACAATAGTGGTCACCACATCACCCCTAGTGGCTGAAGCTTGACTTACACCTTGCGGAGCCGCTGTCTGTAGACCAGCAGGGAGAGCAGAGCCACCGTGAGCCCGATGAGAAACATCCCCGCACTCAGACCCTCCACCACTCCACTCAGAGGTTCTGGGGCCACACATGAACACACAGTTAGACCGCGACCCACATCAGTGTCCAGAACCTGGGCTCAGGTCCACGGCTGTCCTCGCCCTCACCTGAGTGTGTCCTCAGAGGCGCCGACAGGTAGGTGTCAGTGAAGAGCGGCTCTGGGACCTCCTGGTGTTTGTCATCAAACAGTCTGGTGAACGCCCGGACGCTGAGTCTGAAAACACAGCCACAGCTGAGCTGCCTGGCTCACTGGCTCAAAAAACACAGCTGAGCTGCCTGGCTCACTGGCTCTGGGCTGACCTCGTGTGTGTGTGTGTGTGTGTGTGTGTGTGTGTGTACCTGTATGATGTCTTGGCTTTCAGCGGTCCATCACAGAAGCCACCGTAGCTGTCTCTGACGTAGAGGTCGCCGTCGTGGTCATGGTCACAGGGTCCGCCCAGTCGGTCTCCTCCCGCTCCCAGGTTGACCTCCACCACCTGATCAGTGATTGGTCAGGTTAGTCCACCCTCGTATTTGGGACAGGGTCACTGGGGTCGTGTATCTTACCTGTGCGACCGAACCGCGGAGGTCCTGCGGGCAGCGGCTGGGGAAATACGCCGTCTGATAGGCTCTGACCGAGGAGTTGGCCATGTAGTCCATGTAAGACGGCAGAGGGTGGCGCTGTTCTGGCTGCAGAGGCCCGTTGGCTGTAGTCAATCAAATTGACCACAGGTTAGACGTCGGTCCCAGAACGGACGATGTCCAACACGTGGACTTCCTGTTCTTACCGTCAGATTCGGCCACGATGACGGAAAAGTATCGCACGGCTCCGTTAGCGTCGCTGAACCAGGAGCAGTTGAAGCGAAACAAGATGGAAGACGATGTGATCTTTGAAGATCGTTCACTGACACGTACACCAGGGGGCGGTACAGGCGGACCTGGGAGAAGGGGAATTAGAAAAAAAATATTTAAATTCATAAATGAATAAACTTCTAAATGTTCCGGTTGACCATTCTGACCTTTGACCTCATCTGTCACCGCGACCCTCACCACAGCAAACAAAAAGGAGCAGGTCACTGAGGTAACCCTATCTGGAACCCATCAGCCACTCAGACTGCACACTTCACCACTGTCAGAGATATTTCAGCTCTGACCCAACGCGTCCATGGCTCCAGTGTGTGTGTGTGTGTGTGTGTGCTGGCAGCAGAAACTCACGGTCGATCATGGTGACCGTGCTCTGTGTCACCGGTGGACTGGAGAACCCGGCCGAGGACAGGCGGACGGTCACAGAGTACTTGGTGAACGGTACCAGGCGCTCCAGTGTGACGGCGGTGACCCCCTCCGTCAGCTGCTGCACCGAGGTCAACTCATCGTCGTTATGACGACGGCACTCCATCTCGTAGGAGTCAAAGTCAGAGGGAGGAGGTGTCCAGGAGCAGGAGATGGAGGAGGAGGAGAGAGGGAAGCAGTGGAGAGACCTCAGAGGAGACGGACCTGTGAGGAGACGAGGAGACGAGGAGACGAGGAGACGAAGGAGGGTCAGGGCGTAACAATGATGTCCTGGGTTCTGGTGCCATCGTGTGGCTACAATGACAACTACAGGTCCAGCTTCGTGTCTGAAACTTTTGAATTTTAACGTCTTAGTTTTTCTCAACATGGTAACAAAGATCCAGAACCATTTTCTCATTTTAATTAGAAGCAAAAGTTCTAATGTAGTGAGGTTAACACAGGCGTGGGCAAACTTTGGGGTCGGGGTCGGGGTCGGGGTCGGGGTCGGGTCAGGAGCAGATGAAGCGTTCATATGAACTAAGACAAATGACATGTAAAAGTCATGCATAAATGCTAAAATGCTAAAGCGCTTTTAGCCTTTTCTACGCCATCTGTTGGGGACATGCAGGCACTGCAGAGAAAAAGGCAGAAGTACAATGACAGTTTGACGGGCCGCATCCGGCCCCCGGGCCAGAGTTTGCCCGGGACCGGGTTAACACTTCAGTGACACCTACTGGTTCTGACGCTCATCTCAACCGTCTGGCTCCTGACTGTAGGACCGCCTTTGGCCCCGCCCCCACAGACAGTCGCGACAGTGAGGTTGTACCGTCGGCCCGGGTACATCCCACCCACGACACGCCTTTTAAGGTGAGCCTGGGTGATTGACAGAGGGTCGGGGGGCGTCCACTGAAGGACGAAGTCATCATAGTCCCCGGAGGTGGGGGCGGCCCATGTCAGCTCCACGGTCTCATTGGTTGAGCCTTGTTTGACAGACAGGTGGGTGGGTGGCTCTGGATCTGGAGGAGGAAACAGGAAATGGTTTTTTCAAAAGAATTCACTAATTACAGTTGAATCATTCGATTCCTGAACGTGGACTCACTGGTCCGACCCAGAGCCCGGATGGCGTTGGTGAGCTCCCCGCTGTGTGTGATGACCTCAGCACGGTACAGCCTACCAGGGACCAGACCTGAGAACGTGACGTCGCTGTGCTCTGGTCCTAAAGTCTGAGCTCCCAACGTGGAACCAGACGCGTCATAGACGAAGACCTTCACCAACGACAGAAGACGACGAGCGTAAGACTTCAGCACCGCGGACAGTTCTCCGGTCCAGCTCTCGGGGGACCCTGGGGGACACTGAACACCATCTTACCTGGTAGCTGCTGCGGCGTCCCTCGGCGTGCTGCCAGCTAACGCTCAGTCTGTCCGTCTGTCCAGACGCCTCGACCCGAAGAGAAGAAACTGGAGAGGGGACTGAGAGCACCGGGAAAATAAATAAACAGATCATCCGCATATCTGAGCGGAGGTTAGCCGCGGAGGTTAGCCGCGGAGGTTAGCCGTGGACTAACCCGTTCTGGCCAGGACGGAGGAGTCGCTGCTCAGACCGCGGCTCCAGCTGACCACCTGCAGACGGTACAAACTTCCTGCTCTGAGGTTGGAGAAGGTGCAGGCGTCCGTGTCTGACCCGACCTTCTGCAGTTCCACGAGTTCACCCGCAGCCTGGAACAGGAAGTGACATCGTCGCGAAAGTGTTTCCTTCTCATTGGTCACCGTCACCCTCGTCACCCGGCGCCCGTCTTACCCCGTGCTGTTGCTGCTGCTTTCTACTTCCTGTCAACTCTGCTCTGTGATTGGCCGTGGCCTCGTCAACCCTGTACAGTGAAAGGTCATAGAGGTCGACCTGGCCAACAGACCGATGCCAGGAGAAGAAGAGAGCAGAGGTGTTGGCTGAGGCCACGGTTAGATTCCTGACGGCCGCCGGACCTGGAGAACCATGTGACGAACACGTGACGATCTGGTACCAGGTGCAGACACACGTCAACCCTGGTACTATTTATTTATCAGCACTCACGTGTTTGCCCCTCGGTTGTTGCCTCAGCCGACCACACGCCCCCGCTCAGTGTCACCACCTTGACGCGATAACGCTTTCCCGAGGTCAGTCCTTCCAGCTTCTCGCTGCGTGTCTCCACCGGCAGCGAGCGGTTAATGACGAGACCGCCGGCCGCGTCCACTAACTGCAGCCTGTAGCCGTCGTACACCCCCGTCGGTCTCTCCCACACAACCGTCAGACTGTGCGCGGTGTGGTCGTTGTCGGCCTGCAGCCCCGTCACCGCGGCTGGAGCTGGACACAAGAAAAATAATATTTGTCTCCTCACTAGGGGTCGCCACGGAGCCGGTTAATCCAAACACAGTCAAACCCAGAACTGATGATAAATCAAGCCACGCCCACCTGTGCGGCCCGTGGCTTTGTTGCTATTGGTCAGCTTCCCGCTCATGGATTGGATGGTGATGGAGTAGGCGTGGCCTGGTATCAGCTCCAGGAAGTCCAGGGAGGAGATATGTTTGGGGACAGGGCGCGACTCAATGAGAGCGCCCTCCTGAGGTGAGGACAAGTTGACGTTAGATTGGACCTTCTCTGAACCTGGACCTGTGGACCAGACTGACCTGTGTGGACAATGTGACGATGTTCATGTCCAAGTCTCCATGTCCAGGCGTCCAGGAGACCAAGAGTCCGGCGACAGAGTCTGAGAGACCGGCACAGGGAATCAGGCGAAGGTTTCCAACAGGACTAGGAACTAGAGCAGACGGAGCAGCCGTTAGGATTGGTCAACGCCGTGACCGCACGACACAGCAGCTGCTGATCGGTCTCACCCGTCCGACCCTCTGTGAACTGAGCCCTCTGGTTGGGTCCGCTGAAAGTCGACACCACGATCTTATAGAGACGCCCAGGGGTCAGGGACGTCAGGCGGTGGCGCTGCACGTCACTGCTCAGCGTTACAGGAGGGAAAACACGAGTGTCGTTGAAGAGCAACGTCACCTGAGGATAGGTCATGTGATCAGTACAGCAAGCCCAATCCAACGCTGCAGTTTTTCAAAACACTTTTCCACCTCGTAATGGTCCACGTCTCCAGGCGCAGGCGTCCAGGTCACAGTGAGGTCATCCGTCCCGCTGTTGTTCAGAGACAGATGTCCCACAGCAGCTGGAACTAAGGAGAGACACCACCTTCAAGTACTTTTACTGCCTCTCCCCTGACCTTACCGGGGTTTTCAACTCACAGGTTCGTCCATCCGTAGAGATGCTGCTGACGTAGCTGCCGCTCCACGTCTCCACCGTGACGGTGTAGAGTCTCCCCGGAGTCAGAGAGGAGAATATGCACTCGTTGTTCCCCACGGAGACGCTCTTGTTCTGCAGGATCCTGTTGTTGTAGCTGATCAGTACCAGGTACCGGTCCAGGTCTCCTGCTGCGTGGCGCCAGTAGACCTGAACGCAACAGGAGAAGAACAAATACCAGTGGTACTCCAAGCAGTAACAGATATGTAGTAGTAGTACTGTGTATATATTTATATATTTATGTATTGGTTTATGTGTCGGTTGTTGTGAACCTTCAGGAAGTCGTCTCTTGCAGAGTGGACGGCCGTGGGGTTCTGCACGGTGGCTGGTTCTGAAAGAATCAAATCAGAAACAACAACATCAGTAGAAATACTGAGACGTTTGAATATTTGAATACAGTCGAACAAAAACATTGTGAAAAATGTGTTTGTTTTATATTAGATGAAACAAAGTGAAAAAATGCCACAAACTCAACTCACGAGTCCTGGCTTTGACCGCGGTGTCGTTCTCCAGGCCGCCGCTCCTCGCCACTATGACGATGGAGTAAAGTCGCCCAGCGACAAGGGAGCTGAAGGAGCACTCGGGCGGAGAGGAGTGTGACACCGCGATTGTATGAACCACTTGACCGTGGTCCTGAAGACGAACCACGTAGTTATCAATCACGCCACCTGCTGGGCGCCAAGACACGTGCAGAGCGTCTGACCTGCCGCCATTAGCCACAGTTACCTCAGAGACAGAGGCTGGGGCTGAAACAGAAGGTTAAAGGTCGAGTTAGCTAAACTACGACAAACTTTTTCATAAGGAGTTCCCAAATTATGACTTTGTCATGCAGTACCACAAGTGGCCACAACAAGACAAAGTGGCAGCAGCGGGTCTTAAAATGTCTGTTTAAATAAAAAGTCATGTGGGAACCACTGCAGTCGGGGAGTGAGCGTCACCTGCTGGCAGCTCAACAACACTGCAGTACTGCAGAAAGCCACAACCAGGAAAAAGTGGCAGCAGTGAGTAACGGCCAATCGGCTTCAGTGTTATCTGTGGTCCAATAGAAGGTCATCGGTGCAATGCTGCTAGGTCGACACCCACACCCACACACACACACACACCCACACACACAAACGTTCCTGAAAATAACTGGAACATTCTGTGAGAACACAATAGTTGCTCAGAGCAGGAAGTGTGTGTGTGTGTGTGTGTGTGTGTGTGTGTACAGGATGCTGTGTGTTTGGAACATTCCAGTCTGGTCTCGGTGCCATTGTCCTTATCAACATTGATATTGTTTATTTTGTGTCTACTGAGCTTCTAAAAATAAAAGTTTGACAACAACAACAACAACCACGTCAACAACAACAACCACAACAACAACAACAACCACAACAACAACAACAACCACAACAACAACAACAACCACAACAACAACAACCACAACAACAACAACAACCACAACAACAACAACAACAACGACAACAACCACGACAACAACCACGACAACAACAACCACGGCAACAACAACAACTATGACAACAACAACCACGACAACAACAACAACAACCACAACAACAACAACCACAACAACAACAACCACGACAACAACAACAACAACCACAACAACAACAACAACAACGACAACAACCACGACAACAACCACGACAACAACAACCACGACAACAACAACCACGTCAACAACAACAACTATGACAACAACAACCACGACAACAACAACAACTACGACAACAACAACCACAACAACAACAACCACAACAACAACCACGACAACAACAACCACAACAACAACAACAACAACGACAACAACCACGACAACAACCACGACAACAACAACCACAACAACAACAACAACAACGACAACAACCACGACAACAACCACGACAACAACAACCACGTCAACAACAACAACAACCACAACAACAACAACAACAACGACAACAACCACGACAACAACCACGACAACAACAACCACGGCAACAACAACAACTATGACAACAACAACCACGACAACAACAATCATCTCCCTGGTGTCAACCGTCCTGTTCTCTGCACAAACACAACATTTATTTGTATTTACGTTTACTGCAGAGCACGATATTTAACAAACAAGTTGTGAGGAAGTGACTTCACGTGACCCGTAGGGGGCGTGGCTCCACGAGTGAGGTCTCGTCCCAATGATAGAAATCAATGTTGTGATTGGAATAAAAATAAAAAGTATTTACTCAACTATCTTTACTTTACAGTACAGGTATCTTTACTTTAAATATAAGGGGCGGAGCCCTTACCTGTCCGCGCTGTTACAAAAATGTTTTCTGACTCCAGCCGTCCACTGACAGTGGCAGCCTGCAGCCTGTAGAGGGTGCCAGGTGTCAAACCTGTGAGCTGCAGAGAGGAGGAACCTGCAGGAACGCTGATGTTCTGAATGACAACACTGCAAGATAGAGGAGGAGGAGGAGGAGGAGGAGGAGGAGGAGGAGGAGGAGGAGGAGCAGGAGGAGGAGGAGGAGAACAATTTAAGGCTAACAACTGTCCTTAACATTTGTGCTAAGCTAGGCTAACACACCTGTCCTGCAGCAGGATCAGTTTATACAGGTCCATGTTTCCAGGTGGTTTTTCCCATGATGCCCGGAGGCTGTCCACTCCTGAGCTGCTCAGAGTGATGGTACGCAACGCCATAGGAACTACAACCAAAACACATACACAGAAGGTCATAATACTCACGCTCGTGATGCTAGGACAGTACACAAGCTAGCACAACACACTAGCATGTCTCAAATATGTCATCCAGTACCAACGCACCCGTCCTCCCCCCCACAGACACAGATGTGTTCAGACTTCCACTCCTGGTGGTCACGGTGACGGTGTACTGTCGGCCGGGGGTGAGCACGTTGAAGGTGCACTCCCTCATGTTGACCTCCACCTCCCTGGTGTCAACCGTCCTGTTCTCTGCACAAACACAACTCAAACATCACATTTATTTGTATTTACGTTTACTGCAGAGCACGAGACGTATTTAACAAACAAGTTACCGTGGGAAATGGTGAGGAAGTAGCCATCACGTGACCCGTAGGGGGCGTGGCTCCACATGACACTGAGTGAGGTCTCGTCCCAGTGTCGAAGAAAAAGGTTGATGACGGGAGCAGGAGCTGCAGAGAGTGAAGACAGGTTAGGGCGGTGGGGTCGGGGGGTCGGCTCCTTTAGAGTCATTCTGGTGCACAGTGCCCCCTACCTGTGGCTCCTTCACAGCTACTCTCCGCCCAGAGACCTTGGCTCTCCACCCGCAGCACTGCTCTGTAAGGTGTTCCAGGTGTGAGATCCTGGAAGAGGAACCTCACGGCTGTGTTCTCCACGCCGCGGCTGACGACCTGCCGCAGGCCAGCAAATAACAACAGCCTGTAACTCTCCCACTGGCCTCTGGGGGGCATCCATGACAGGACAAGGCTGGTGGATGGGGAGGAGGTAGAAGGTGACAGGAGGAGGTGGGATGGAGCTGCTGGAGCTGAAGAGGAGCAGAAGAAGAGCAGGTGAAAAAGACAGACCTTGAAACAGAAGTGGGTTCTACGTCACTTTACCTGCAGTGACCCGGGTTCTCAACGGTTGGCTCATCAGTCTACCACTGCGGGATGTCACCTCCACCTCGTAGGTGAAGCCAGGAGTCAAATCATGCACAGCAACTTCCATGGCAACTGGAGGAAGAGTCATTTCTCTGACGCTGGTGCCGTTCACTAAAACACTGACCCCCAGTGCGTCCAGGTCGCCTACAGGTGTGGTCCACATCAGGAGAAGGTTGGTGCTGTCGTTAAAGGTGGTGGTGAGGTTGGAGACAGGAGCAGGATCTAATAACGAAAGAAAGAAAATCACAGAACAAGACCTTTGACCTTCGATTTCCTGACATTAGCAAAACATAAGTAATGAATGTCAAGATGGACTAGCTTAGCCCAGAGCCGTTTATGTCAAAGCTAAACTGGACTAGCTTAGC